AGAAGAGTCTGTTTACACAGATTTAGAATCAAAATTGTCAATGTCCTGAGAGACATTTACACATTATCTTTGTTTGTTCTTGTTTATCACTATAGCAGTCATTAATGATAATCTTTTTTTTCAATGAATACAGGGAAAAAAAATGCAAGTAGGGAATATATTTTTTTCAGAAAGATAATATTTTTAGGATAACGTTAAGAAAATTAAATGAACATTTTCATGAGACAAATCAGTGCCAGATACAGGTTTTGATTGTTTTTGGTACCTTCATTTATAGCATGTTAAATGTCTCATATGATTTATAAACTCAAAAAAAAAAGGTTCAGAATACACATGATAGTATTAGTTTCCAGCTAAAACCTTAATTTTTTAAAAAGGAATTTGTGTGTTGTTATAAAAGTCAATCATGTTCTATGTTGCGAATTGAAATGTTTAGTTGATATCATTTCCATCACCCCCAAATTCTAGGGACATACCAATCGATACGTCCTTTGCAAAGTCTCAGCGCAAGAGGGATTCCAAAGTACGGATGTCGTGGACGAATACCAGCTACTCTCAACTCCCTGTTGCGTAGCTTCGGATACCATCATCGTTAGCCTGGTTGTGTTCATCTTTGTTAGGTCGTGACATTGCATCATCAACATTCCATAGAATCTTAAATATTGGTTTAGAAAGAGTAATAATTGTTTCTCTTAATCCAAAATATCTATGAAAATTGACACCTTATGTACAGGAAATCATGAAAAAACATTTTTTTCATTCACATTATCTATCAAGGGAAATAATTCAACACTTATGTTTTCAAACCTCGTGTTGTCTTTTAAATGGGCCACAGGTACCAAATGATAAAAAGATAATTGTTCCATATACTTTAGAAATAACTTTGGTGAGTAAAACAATATGCGTTTCCTTTCTGTTTATTACATTTTCATTGCAAAAAAAATATTTTAATCCCTGTTGTAAGATCTGTGGTTCAGTTTATGTTGGCAAAGAAAAGATGTCCAAAGGCTGAGAGTACCCAGTACATGTCTAATTTTTCAGCTCTCCACCGACATGTGTTAGAATATGTGCATGTAGGAAATGCTGTTGTTATTGTAGACTTCATTGAAATATGATGAAATAAAAATGGTACATGCACTTGTATTCACACATTTATTCCTGTGCTTGAAATTTTAAGTTTAAGGTGCCTTCAGGTAAAGTCAGGATTATCGTATGACACAAATGTGGCTGAAATAGTATGTGCTGGGCAGCGCCCGTAATCAAAAACACTAGCCTGTTAAATACTTGTATACGGTATCTATAATAGATACTTGAAGGAAGATATATTTGTGAACATACTTTTGTATATACTTGTTTGATTTAAATGTGAAAGTTAAAATAAAATTTAAATTAAAAAAAAAACTACAACAACAAAAAAAAACACTAGCCTGTATTGTGCAGGTGAAGAAACTAAGTGCAATGTCTAGACTTGGATAAAGATCTTCATATAGTCAATTAAGAATAAAAGAAACCGAAAATAGTTGAATACGAATGCGAAGAAGAGTGTTCATTGACGCAGGGTAAAATTTGAACCAAAAGAGATAGCGATTATAATTCGTTTATTGTATGATCGAAGTGTCTGAACATAAATACTCTTACTTTTGAGTGTTTTGTTTAAAAGTTCCATCACATTAAAATTGGCAAATTGTGGGCTTGAGAAATTCCTTCCATTATAAAAGTTGTCGTTGCAACAATACTAAAAGGTCGTGACTAGAGGAGAAACCTAAGGATTTTCTTTTTGAAATCACAGTGTTCGTTTGATAATGTTTGATAGAAATATAAATGATGACAGGAATGTAAACAGAGGGGATAGAGAAAGCCCTGGCACCCCAACATTCCATAAAAAATGAATAAATTAAAATAAAAAGGGGGGTTAATAAATAAAGGAGAAGCCAAACCAAGAATTTAACTAAACAAGAGGCCCACTGGCCTTAAAGGTCACCCGAGTATCATAAAATAGCTTTCCAGCATTTGAATTTAGTTTGTGTTTTAAACCAAAAGCCACGGAATTCAGAATTTTGAAAGAGGCACCATTGCTTTTAATAATTATACACTTAGCAGGGTTACTTTACTCAATACCCAGAGGTAGATCAGAGTAACAAAGAAAAAATGCATTCCCACTTTATAACCACCAGTTGAGCACCCCACCCACAGGAACCACTGACCCTTGGGCCACATATTTTGAAATTTTGGAAATTTTATCATAAATTTTATTCATCATTAATGGTTGTTAAATACCACAGAGCAGATTTTAAAGCATTACTGATACACTTTTTGTCACACAAAATAAGGAGTTGATCCTTACATCACAGGTTCTAATTCCTCTACGGAATGTGTACGAAGATTCTTTTTTTGCATTAGATCATATAAATTGAGGTCCCCTTTGAAGGTAAGTATTGGCACTAAAAAAAACCCTTTCTCAACGTCGATTAGTGCGTAGTATTGTACTGTAATTTGCAAACTCTCATCGGAAAGTGGTGGGGTCTTTATTCATATGAGGGAAAAAAAAATTGAAAAACACAATATTTTATTTAAAAAAAAATAGTTGACACTAAAGAGACATATTTTACCTTCTATAAACCCAATGTTGTCATTTATCCTATGGTGCCAAACTTTCATTTTCAATGCAGATTTTTGTTTATCAACGTGTTCTACATCAAAACTGAAATCCTCATGAAGATCTTATTAGGACAAATCAGAAAAATGCTTCAAGAAAGATTTTAATCATAGTTTATATTACCAATATAGAAAAAGAAAAGCTTTATGAAATTATGTTTTCGTCTTAAATAAAAGAGAAAATTTAAATTCAAATAAAAAAAATTCAATCAAAACCTTTAAAATCAGATATCAAAAAGAAGTATGCCAAAAAACAGCGACTCCCAACCATCAACAATCCCAGATTTAACTCCTATAGAGACGCGATCGTTTGAAGATAAACGAATGACAGTGACAGCACAGGTGTCGTCATGATTAGTACGACGTGCGTCCGAAATCGTTTCGAATAATTCCACTCCGTTAACTCTCAGAGCAGTAACTGTAACCCTTCTATAAGCTTCAGTATTATACAGAAACAAATAAAGTCCATCACGATCAGCAGTGAATACTCCCGTGCTTGTTGAGTAACCATGGTGATAACTACCGTGCGCTGTATTATAAACAATTGGGGTACTGTTAGAGCTACCACTTATATGAGCGAGAAAAGCTGGAAAAGTGGATTTTGACACTGAAAAGAAAACAAAGAAACAATAATGGTGTTGAACAACAATATGACGGTTTACTTCTGAGTATAATATCTGAAGAAAATTTTTAAAATATCTTTGTAAGATTTCTTTCATCTTTTTCTTTAGTTCTTAAAAAAAGAAGCCTTCAAAATGTTAACTATAACGTAAACAACGATGATGATAATGAAAATCATAATAATCATTATCATTTAACTAATATGTAGTGTTTATTTTATAGAATTCACTAGTTGATAATTAGGAAACATAATGAGGGGAGCGTATTCCGATACGTACGAGTTTCATTTATATTTTCTGTCGCTGTAACAGAATGAAGTACGCAATGTATATATGCCGAATACTGTTCTATATGTAAAATCATCAGACTGTTTGAGGCCTGTTAGGGCCAAAAACTGTCTGATAATTTTACATATAGAATAGTATGAGGCATATATCTTACTTAAAACATTGCCATTTAAATGTCCAAAAGTAACCTGGAGGAGTCCGATAATAACACAATGGGAGTTTAGGTGTCAGTTGTTTTATACCCGTGTAATAAGTAGACAAAAGAAAAGAGACAGTAAAAGCAGTGGATGAACTCTTATTTCATTTCATTCATTCAATGGCAGTCGTTTAGATAAGCAAGACAGGGGTCTGGTGGGGAATGATTTCCTTTTTATTTTGGAAAATTTTTATTATTTTGTGCATAAATTGACCTGATACATATTTTTTTGAGTGGAATTATTACCGTCACCTTGGAAAGTAAAAAAAATGCGGATTTTCATCCTGAAGTTTTAGTTTATATAATGGAAATTATCAGGTTTTACAAGTGCAGCCATTTAGAAACATTCTTATAAAATAAAAAGATTTGCCGATTATTTCTCAGAAATGGATTTAAATTCGCTTATTCAAAGTGCCGAATCAAAAACACTTTAAGATGGGAAGTATTAATTTTGAGGATGGTTTAAACTCGATTTCTTCATGGATTTGCTATTTTGTAACAACTAAATTTCCTTGCGATTGCTTTCCCTGATTTTTTTTCCTTTCTTTGGGTGGGGGTGGGGGTTGGATTGGGGTTAGGAGGGTGGACATATCTAGTTTATTCCACTCTTCTTTTGGTTTTTAAATACCGTCCGATTTTGATATAATTGCCATCCGATAATATATTATCAGACTGGTAATTATTATTATCGGACGGCCACAGGTAAATTTTTAGACTGCAAGAACAAAGACATGACGTAACAGCAATGTTTTAAATTTTAATATACATGATCGAAAATGTTGGGGATTGAAGCAGTGTTGAATTTAGAAAAAATAAAATGCAAATGAAAAACCTCTAAGAAATGCAAAATTCATCATTTGTAAAATAATTACTATCAGCGCATAAAGTCTTTGTTTTAATTGTTCTTGTAAGTGTCTCTAAATTTCATAATTGTATTTGATAGAAATTGATATTCGAATAAAAAAAAATAGAAAGATGTTTTTTTTAACCATATAATTACGTTTTTTTTTTAAATGTTATTTTTAGTGTCGGTTTCATCAAATTTAATCCCCCTGTAAGCTTTTTACATATCTTTTTATTTAAAAATACCTATGAAATTTTCATAGCAAAAATATCTATGCAAAAAGTATCAATTTTACCGGTTGTGTCTTCAATCACCAGCCACCCTGCAAACATGGACGTGGCCGTAATTCTCGGAGATTGAACATACACAGATTCTCCAGAGTCCATCCAGGCGAAACGTCATATAACCGCTGGTCTCATGATTCCCGTTTCTCGACTCTACCCAAACTACTGGCAGTGAAATTCAGTTACTGAATAAAAAATTGCAATGCAGTGCGTGACCTCCATAGATAAGTCCTGACATCATAAACACGTAAAGACCAGAACGAGGCGCCACAAACTTCCCTGTAGACGTGGAGTAAGCATCATCTGTGTCCAGAATTTCTTTGTTAAAGATAATGCGAGAATCATTCACATCATGCGAAAGGGAAGCATAAAATGCTGTACTATCTAAAAAAAAACAAAAAACAGTTTGGTGTAATGCATTATAGTTTCTTTTTTGTCAAAGAAAGAATAAATATAAGATGGAATCTAAAAGGGGTAGAAAGGAACCTGCTGAATGCAAATTACTGTGAATTTTACCTCTATTTTGGTTTTGACCAGATCGGTTTTTGTTCAACACAAGGGCATCTGTATAAATTTGAACGGGGTTATTTTGTTTACGAATTTTATAGTGCGTAAATTTCATTGGGCGAAAATGATTCATACGAGCATATTTTTAACAAAAACAAAAATTTTGCACTTCTTGTAACATGCGATTTTGACAAAAATGTGCAAGGTGAAAATCAGCTTGAAAACACTTAAATAAATATTTTTTTTACATTTAAAATGAAGTGATTATTATTTTACTTGTATATTTTGTACATTTTTAAACAGAAAAACATGCTAATTGCTAAGTAGGGTATGTCCTTTTCTGCAGATTATATTACGTCGTGTGATTAGGTCACACAGTGACCTAGGACCTTTGATAATATTCATACTATGTAAGTATGTAGATATCTTCTCTCTGCATGTTTATATGATAGAAAGACACCACAGATGTATATATTTAAATAAATAACGTTTTCACTAAAATTGTTTACCTCCAAAACTTGCAGACACAAACATTCACAATCTTTTGGGTGCTAATGCACAGTGTGGTGTTTATGATTTTATTTAAAAAGAATTAAATTCAGCTTGAGTAATATTAAAAAAAATCCTAAGAAATACTTAAATAATTACTAATTCATGGAAAGTTATATGTATTTTAATTTCATTACGCTGAACAAAAGTCATAAAATGAGAACACAAGTCCACTTACAGGTAACATTGTATCATGCAGTAATGATGGGGTTTTGAAATTGTATTTCAGCATTCTATATGTACATATAAATAAGGGAATAACTATCTTCTAATTTGGCATTTGCGACCGTTAATGCTGATCTAACGGTCGCAAACTGAGTTTTACCGGCGACGCGTAAGCGGAGCCGGTAAAACGGATGTTTTACAAAATTTATTGTAAGTTCCACAAATCGTATTAAAATTGCATTTCATTTTTAACAAGAGTAATTATACTTATAGCGATTACATTTGAAAAGATAAAGTTGTCAGACTTTTTTCTCCTTTACCATTATTTTTCAAAGATGTTAGAATACTATACCGCTTTTACTGATCATCCAGCCAGAAAACATGGTATGCATCGCTTCTGCACGTCCACTTTTTAGTTTGATCCATACTTTGTCGTCCACTGTAAGATTAAGGACGGCAAAGGAAGTGGACGAATCGTAGTAAGTTGAGTCTTCGTCACACGTCGATATTCCCATTTCGAATCCGTTCACTAAAATTGCAGCCTCAGTCAACTGTCCGTAAGTTTCTATGCTCCAAGAAAACACATAAAAACCTGTTGTTGGTACAGTGAATATTCCGGAGCATTTGTCGTATCCGAATCCAATATTTGTTATCAGATGATCAAAAAAAATTACCCCGGGACGGCAGCGACTAGAAGCAACTACATGAAAGGCAACTTGTTCAGGCATTACTGGAAAAAATGAAATGATTGATTTTGTGAAAATATTTATATTTGTTAAACAAAATATTCAGTTATAATCGTGTTTTAAATAAAGAAATATATGTAGCTATAATCAAAACTACAATGAATTTGAATCTTTATAATGTTCGGATATGAAATGATTTAAAAGATCGATTAAAATAAGTTACAACAGCAAACGGCAATTTTCACATCTCTTTTATTTATTAAATAAGATAGAAGTCAGTTCCATTTTAATATTTGAAAAAGCAGTACTAACTCTTATCCAGTTTCTTTTTAACATAGTGTAATTCTTCCTCCAGCAATTCCATTTTAATAGACTGACGTCTTACAAGCTGCTGGACATCAATCAGTTCCGCTTTTAGAAAATTTAATTCATCTGGCTCAGAACATGTGACCGAGTTAGAATGGAGGCGCTGGCATATGCAGTAGTTAATCCAGGATGCAGTAGTTAAAATTATCAACAGTCCTTTTGTCATTTTGTTACCTCCTTTTTAAGAACTGTAAACTTGTTTTGTACAGATATACTTAATGCGAAATTTCTGTACTCTTTTATTGATTATCACACTATACAGTTGTGTTGCCAATCAAGAAATTCAAGACAATCCAATAGATTCTTTTTTTCAATAAATCCAACCAGTGAATTTCATGAAGAGTTTCAACGCCAACGCCTTTAACTTATCATTTACTGTTGAGATTGGCATACCTTCGTTATCTTGATTTCATCGTGCACACTGAAACATTTTCTGTTCGTTAAATCTTAACTACCTTTCTATGTTAAACATTGCCTAATAAGACAATGACATGACAAATGGCAAGGAGATATCCAAGGAAGTCCCTAAGCACGTTCATAACTTATGGTCTTGTGTTAGATTGACATATAAAAGATTAGTATGTATTTGCTAATTAGGAGTTAAAAAGATATCGAAGATGGATTTTTTAATAGCTCTCTACAAACTTAAAATAATTCTTTTTATTCAATGAAAATGCCTGTAAAAAACCAAATCAAAAATTGTGTAAGTTAAATTCACATTCTTTAAAAATATATTAAATCATCAACACAATTTTTACTTTATAGTCTTTGCGATTTAATTGTGTCAGTTTTGTTATGGGGAACAAACATAATATGTTTTCTTTTTTGGCCTTTCAACACGGAATGTGAAACCGTACATAGATGATGCTTGTCGGGATTTAATTCCGACTTGGTTTTTCCCCGGTGCCCTTGTTCTTTCCTTATCTGTGATTGTTTTGCTGACCGGATTTATCTTCATTACTTTTTAAAGCTTCCTGCTAACAAAGTTTAGTCCTACAGACGATCTGATGGACACATGGATTTCATCAAATTCATCCTGATTGGTTCTTCACTTTAAATTTGCAATAACGTGGCATCTAAGAATTTCAGATCTCAGGTGCAGATATGCGAAGTACGTATGTGAAAACTGCAACAGAGAAACCCTTTAATTTCATACAATAAGAAACTTACATTGACTTCAATACCAATGACAAGTGTAAAAAATCTAGCGTCTGGGTATTTAAGAGACCGTTCAAAATACGTCAGAAAGATTTATCATATGATTATATAGTGAAAGGAAAAAGAAACGCAGGGTAAACTTTTGAGGTGAATTAAATTTGTTTTTCTTAAAATATGTTTTAGTTTTCCTATCTAACTTTTGAAATTATCTTTCAGAAAGATATAACCAATTTCCCATTTGATTTTGTCCAATAATTCATGAGTCATTGAAGATCAAATGACGATACCCCCAAAAAGTGAAAATCGAAAACTCTCATTTATCTTCAATGTCTCTCCCGTGCATCTGTCAAAGCCTTATTTCTCATTCGCATGGTATTTCATCAGTGTTTATCTTTCAAACCCTGGCTATATTTGGCATGGGTAACCAAGCAGAAAAATAAGACAAACGGTGTGCGCATGCACCAGTGAGAGGAATACAACAGTAAGTTGACTTGCTCAAAAAACCAAATTGCGGAATCTTTTTCCTTCAAATTTCGTATGAATGTATTGATTACAATCATCTACTGTATAAATGGCTGTTTTGTGGTAGTAAGGTAGCGATTTAAGAGATTACAGGACAAATAACCCGCTCGCAACATGGCTCTGTTTTGCGTTAACGTCATCGTAACGGTTGATTGAAAAAACCATTCCAGACCATCTCTCACAACGGGTAACAAGTTTTATGGGGTGAAAATGTACAAGAAACTGCTTAGTAAACCGTTATTGCCTTTTTCATTAATTAGGCAGTTCGAAAACAAGACCCCATTGAACTTCCATAAACTGTACCAATATTGCAGGAAATTCATAATGTCTCTAAATATTGAAAAACGATGTGCATACCTCATATGCATCAAATAATACAACAAGATTTGTTGGCAAACTCGTTGTTATCAAATTGCGCGTGTTTTGGGCTTTTTAGCGTTTTCCCTAAGTGAGTTAATAAATTTTACGGTTGAGGAATTCTGAATACTGATTTTGGTGCACGGTTACTAAATTTCTCTTATGACCAATTTCGTAATTTTCGGTCATTTTTTCAATTTTTTGTCGAACATAATGCTACCCTGCGTTTCTTTTTCTTTTTAGTAAATAACAATTGCAAGACTTTAGCAATTCAAAAAAAATCACATCAAAACTATTGACTTCACTCAAAGTCTAATATTTGATGACTAAAAATGTATTGTTTATTATATGAAAGAAAAAAAAAGTTCTATCAGTGGTTTACGGGGGGCAATTCAATACGTCAATTGCTTTTAATTTTTCCATTTTTATGAAGTACTGAAACTACGAAGGATACATAGGATTGATCTAAATAAATATAACTGTAAGATTCTTAAATTTCAATTAAAAAATATGACCCCCTCTTAAGAATCTGCAGTTTATAATGACGTCACAAAATTATATCATAAGATCTACTTGTCTGTTGCAAAATAGCTTTAAAAATCAGTCTTATAAATATGTATTAAGACTTTTTATCTAGGAGACTTCCTGTAGTAGTACCTCATTACAATGCGTTGAGATATGGGTTCATTAAGCTTGAAATACTTGTATTTTTGTGCCTATTATCTATTTACAAATACGAAATAGATTGTGGCGTTTATTTTCTTTTATATTCCACTTTTTTATGGTAGTCATATCAGTGCCTGTTTTATGCTATGTGTAAATTAAGGGGGTCAATTTGCATGATATGATTTTTGTGTTCTTTAGAATTTATTTTGTCTCTTCTTATCCCCCTACTATGTGTATATTTGTTTTGAGTCGTTTTCTTCAATAAATTACATTTTTCAATTTCACTACTGCTGTTATTTTCCTTAAATTTATTCAAAAAGGTCAGCTGACTTGGCTTTATACTTGTAAGAAGGATATGGAAATAACGAACAGTATTCAATCTCAACGTCCATTAAACAAATATACAAAATAAGAGCAGAGCAAACACAGACCTCCGAAACATCAGAGGTGGGATCAGGTGCCATGGAGGAGTGAGCATCCCCTGCCGACCGGTCACACCCGCCGTGTGCTCGTTGTCATAATCAGGAAATAACGGAAAAAATCCATGGTCAATTCAGTGTATAAATAATGGACTAACAATTGGTATGAAAAACGTCAGTCAGCATTTCATTCAATGATAAATTGTATTTGCTGACAAGTTCATTGTATCGACCATAGAATTTACGAAATGATGACTTTAAACGAGATTGTTGATATTCTTGTTTCATCAACTTGCTTGTCAATAATTATAATCTGTTATATGTAACAATAACATATGAACTTAAAAATTGTTTGTCGTGATTTTAGCAGCGTGGTACCTTAAGCTTACATGTATATAGCCGTTGCGAAAATTATAACTAAAATCCTTATTTCTAAATTTGTACCCTTGCTTATTAAAAGTGTTTACAATTAAAAGAAAACAAGCATAATTTTATCGGGGTCTTTCATCTGCTTTTAAAATGTATATTAAAGTTTTTAAAATTTATAAAAAAAAAAATGAATTTCATTTTATTGAAATGTCCTGAAACTCTATTCGGTTTTCATTGTACAAAATGCATAATAAAACAGCGAGAGATTAAAAGATTTACTCAATACTTCTTACTGGTTTTAGGTGCTTTCTTATAATCCAATTCCACTCGTAAAAATTATTTAAAAAAAAATGAAAAATCAAATTGTTTAGTTTCTATTCCCGTGAACACAGTCAGACAGTTTGTCCTTTATAGTTTATTTTGTCCATCTTTAGTACAGTGGTATAATTTTTAGGAATAACGTATCATGACTGGAAGAACTTTTCCGGTCACCATTTTAAACATTAACGACCGGCTTGTTTGTGTTATGTAAAAAAGGTTAGTATCGTGAATTGAGCACTTTAAAAATTTTAGTTTTTTTTTTAGAATTGACGTTTATTTTATGTTCAGAAATAATTTAGAGTAATTTTAAAATAGAGTTGGTAACAATCAGAGAAATGCAGGAAAAGTGAAAATGTATTACCTAGATTAATTACTTTCTTGTCTTTGTCGAGTCATTCCAGATGTTTAAAATCTGTCGTTCATTTTTATTGAAATTTATACGATACGAAAGTCTAACAGTTTAAATCTAAATTTAACACTGTTAACTTTTTCATTAACTATTTTTATCAAAGCATTACACATTGAAACCAATAAATATGTAAAATTGTACCACTTCAGACACAGAAGGGTTGAAAAGAGAAGAAAGACTAGGTTATAAAAATTAAATCATATATTCGATCTGTGATATCAATCAGAGAATAAGACATTTTATCAGAGATCGAGGAGACTTCATAAACGTCACCAAGAGCAACTTAACAAAATCAATCTGATTATATTTTGGACAAAGACGATGCCCCAAAATATAAACCAGTATATATATAAGAAAGTTAATGAAAGAATTAAATAATTTAGATTTAAATTGTTGAATGTTATTTCCATGTCTTAATTTCTTTGCTTATTTTGAAGCGCATGTTTACTAAAGGAGGAAAAAAAACTGAAAAAAAAAATTATATTTGAAATTCCATCAAAGTGTTCTCTATTAAGTAGGAAGAAGATTTTATCAATTTTTTTTTTCTATATATGTCGATGTAAAGATATGATTCCCTATCATGGTCCCCCGGGGCGTCATTATTTAGAATCTATACTACCAAAGGATGCTTCAAAGATTAATCTTAGCTTTTCTGGCTCAATGTTTCTCAATAAAAAGATTTTGTTTCTATATATTTTATTTTAAATGTAAAACGTAGATTCCTTATTGTTGCTCTGTACTACCCTCGGGAATCTAAGGCTGCAAAATCCTTCACTTTGGCTTATTTTAGCGGTGCCATGGTTAGCTGATAAAATTTTGATCAGCAAATTTTCACCCCTCATTATGCTCATGGAATACAAGAAATATTCCTTTCAGAGTGCTGCATCAGCAATTTTACTACCTCTTAGTATTGTTTTACTTAACCATGTTTAACTTTGTGTCAAGTGGTATTCAAAAGAATGTTAAACGTATTGAGTCTTATCAAAAATATTATTTTCCCCTCTTTTGCAAAGTGTCGGTATTCTGTTTCCGCCAAAATTATTTGCATACCTTTGAGCAAGCAAAACGCAAAATTTTACACCCGCTATAGAAACGCACTACACGGTATAACAATTTATAGGTAATATTATATCCATAAAAAATAACACAAACAACATGTTTGATGAATGAATATTTCATTTATTATATATGTATAAATGACGACAAACAAATAAAAGATAAGTCAGATAAAAGGAGATCACTCTCAAACAATACATCACTGAAAATTTTTTGTGCAAATACCATATATTAGTTGATCACTTTTATATTTCAAACTTTATTTAGAATATATCAAAATTAACTTTCCAGTATCCATAAAATAACAATGAGCAAAAAGGTTGCAAACAAAAACAGCCAAAGTAAAAGCATGCAATGTTTGTTCCCCCCTGACTTTCTCCTAAGACAAATTTGTCATTTTCCTAATGATGCCACATTTTTATTTCAGTGCATATATTAGCAGATACTTCAATTTATTTAAAGACATCAACCGTAAAACTTAAATCCTCTTCAAGACTTTATGAATCTAATTTTTTGATGTCAACTGGGATTTCATTTTTGGTTTTAAGTCAAAATTTAGGGGTTTACTTTTCTCTGCATTTGTCAGAATGTGATGAAATCAGGAAATGTTAACCTGGAATTGATAAACATTGAATTGCTGCAGCATCCATTATCAATTAACTTTTGTGACCACTGGATGGCTTAAATTCAAAGCAAAAAAATGATCTTGCTTTAATTAGTTATGATACTGTTAAAAAATTAAAAGTGAAGAATTATATGATATGTTGATGTGTCGGCAGCATGACTGCGATTAATCCAGGACACAAAATGTTGTACGGGATAAGCCCCTGTTGATCGGCAATCGAAGTCATGTAATAAGGTTGACGTGTTAACACTGTTTCCTACCACTATGGTCAATATATACCATACAATAAACACTGAGTCAATTCTTAATGCTGTGTAAGTCCAGGTCCCGGGATCATTAAACAGACTTAGACATTATTTTACCGCTTGTAAAATGTTTAATAATTATTGAAAGAATCTCTTGTTTTGAAGAAAACAAAACTTTTGTAAAGCATTAATAAAAAGTATTTTAAATTTTGTATAATTAACTAAATTAATCAAAATTCTAGAACAAAATGAACATTCCATCTTTCGCTTTTAATGATGTTTTATAATAACATTTGGTCCTGGTATTATATGAATGAAGGGGAAACTTATGTTTTTATGCAGTGGCCATTTGTCAAGGGACAAACCCTAATTCTTTATTTGTTAGTACAATATATTTTCATCTTCTCAATTTCAGTATCAAATGACCGTGAAAAGCATGCAAAAAATATCAATGACTCTTAGCTCTCCAGATCCGGGGGCTCAATAAAGGTTTTTTTTTTTTCTTTTGAACAAAATTGGTTCTATGTCGATATCATCGCCGGTATTGTCGTCGTAAAAATTGAAGAGTAGTGAAAGTATATAGTCCTTTTATATGGAGGCATCCTCAGGTAAGTAGAAAATAAATGTTTAATTCATGATTCCTAGGGTATTGTTTTTTCGAAAATAGACAATCAGTACCGGTCACGGTAGCCTAGTGGTAGAGCGTTTGCTTCGTGATCGGGAGGCCCGGATTCGATTCTCGATCGCGGCGCCGCGTCATACCTAAGACGTAAACATAGGTAGTGACTGTTCCTTCGCCAAGCGCTCGGCACTAGAAGTGAAAGTCACGGGTCTTTCGGATATGACCTTAAAAACGTAGGTCCCGTGTCACGGTAGGCGTTGGCACGATAAAGAACCCTCACTGCTCAATGGCCCTGAGTGCCGAGTATAGGTCTAAATTTGAAGCCCTTCACCGGCATCGGTGACGTCTCCATATGAGTGAAAAATTCTCAAGAGGGACGTTAAACAATATACAATTAATCAATCAATCCTATAACAGTGAAATAAGGTGAGTGTTGTGGTCCATTGTCCTCTTGTGTCATTGGCGCTTAAATGAAAATGATCTTTATTTAAAAGTTATAATAAATTGGCCTCCATTTTCTTGTTTTAATGGATGATATTTTTCAGGTCAGGAGTGTCAAATAAAAAGTCAGAAAGATTCCTCACGATCAGATGATAGAAATCATAAGTACCCGGTATAATGTTAAAGATATGGAATGACGTAAGCTTCATGATAGTATGCTTCCATCTTAAATAATAGAAAATATGATTCGGATACAAATTAAAGAAGAAGTATGCCAAAAAAAAGTGATTGTCCATCGTCAACTTCCCCAGATTTAACTCCTATAGAAACACGATCGTTTTTAGATAACTGAAGAACAGTGACAGCGGAAGTGTCGTCATAATCAGAACGGCGTCCGTCCGACCTCGTTTCGAATATTTCCACTCCGTTGACTCTCAGAGCAGTAACTGTAACCCTTGAATAAGCTTCAGTATTATACAAAAACAAATAAAACCCATCCCGATCAGCAGTAAATATTCCTGTACTTGTTGAGTAGCCATGGTGATAACTACCGTGAGCTTGATTATAAACAACTGGAGTACTGTTAGAGTCACGACTTGCGTGAGCGAGAAAAGCTGGAAAAGTTGATTTTGACACTGAAAAGAAAACAAAGAAAAAAAGGTGTTTAAGAAAAAATATTACGATTTAATTCTATTAAATCTGAAGAAACTTACTAAAAAATTCTTTGTTAAATTTCTATCATCCTTTTCTTTAGTTCTTAAAAAAGATGGCTTCAAAATGTTGAGTGCAACGTGAAGTGGAACGTAAAGTGCAACGCTCACAACGATGATGATAATGATAATAATAATGGTCATCACCATTTTACTACGTTGTATTTATTGCTTAGTGTTTAATAGAATTCAATAGATGATAAGGAAGCATTATCATGATAATGAGGGAAGCGTATTCTGACACCTACGAGTTTCATCTATATTTTCTGTCGCTGTAAAAGAAACTTTAAAAATAACGTACATGTAAATATACAAGATCGAAAATTTTGGGGAATTGAAACGGTGTTGAATTTAGAATAAATAAAATGCAATGAAAACTGTGGAAGGAAATTACCGCCAAAAGACTATTTATCTTGCTTTTATTCATATTCTGCATACTTCTACATTCTTTGTTACTATTGTAACTATATGTTACTTTAATGTTTTCATAGTCGACTTTATTACATTTCACTTTAAACTTTTATCATTCTTCATTTTGTCCTCACTTGTATGTTGCTTTATTCCTGTAAATTCATTCTTCTTTCTTTTAATTTGATACAGTTTCTTAAATAAGTTATTATGATTATCTCTATTACAAACATAAATTTAATCACGCAAACAATAAAGGAATGAAGAAGAATACAAGTTTTTCAAAATTTAGTGCGGATATATAACGCTAGGATGTTTGCTACGAGTGCTGGTAAAATTGGGTAAGCAAACCCGGGCTGGCATTCTTTAAAATACTTCAATGATGCCTCTCCCCACACATTTTGCAAGAGTAAGGGTAATATAGTATGGTAGGAAGAAAATTTGGTACTGGAAGAAGTTGAACCTAACACCCTTCACCCCATCTCCAACCCTTACCTTCCACCCCGAATAGGATTTTTAGGGTAGGACAATTTACTTTTCTTCTTCTTCTTTTCTTTTCTTTGTTTTTTCTTCCTTTTTCTTTCTTTTTTTTTTGGTTTTCGCCTTTCAATTTTTTATGCAGATAGGTTGAAATTTTTTCTCAGGGTGCAGGGGGAGATGGAAATGTTCATTGAAAGGCTGCTTCCCCCAACTGTTTTTTAAGTAAGGTTAATGTAGTATTGTTAGTCCAAAAATTGGTATTGAAAGAAGTTTACATCGAAAGAAATGCCTTCTACCCACCTCCTTTCCCCAATAAAAGTATTTTCGATTTAGGGCAACTTAGTTTTTTGCTACTCTTTTTTTTAGGTTAGTACAAAACAATTTCTCTGGCTGCCCCCGTTTCAGAAATGATGCTACATGGCTGTAAATTGAATTGTTTTTAGGACCTTCCATTGAAATGAATTTAACTTTATTTCACGATAGTAACTGCTCATGTGCGTGATCCTGGGACCAGGGCTTTGCATAGGAATTCGGGCGCTATGGATATTTCAAGTCAGAACCAGGCTAGAACCAAGCATACTTGAGACTTCCCTCGGTCTTTTTTTTTGAAAATATGTATCAATGTATTTGTATAAAAATAGCACTGTTCAATAAAGAAATTAATATCCTTGAGTAAGCACACAGTATTTGACATTAGAATACATGTAACTCAAAAAATTATTTTGTCAATGTCTCGTTTAGCCCCCCCCCCCCCCCCCCCCCCCCAAAAAAAAATCTACTTTTTGGCTTAATTTTTCTCACCCATCTTAGGAAATTGGAAGTAGAAAATAGTCTTGTCCGATTTATAGGAAAAGTACTTCTAACTGCACAACTAGGTTAAAGGCTACCCAAAGGTAGATCAGTGTATGCAGAGCGTCGGGAATTCGATTATGACGTCATGGTGATATTGTACAAATGAATCTTGGCGAATAAATGATAATTTTCTTTTTCATATACTGTTACATTGTACATACTTTGATTTCTCGTGATTATTGTAAATATTAATCAATGTGTAACTTATCTTGTCATTATAACCTTATTCGAATGTAAAATCAAAGCCAACTTGATCTCACTGTACTAACAGATATGAAGTCATAGGCTAGTTTGACACGCAGTTTCTCTGTACTTGAGACGCAGATAAAGCTATTAGTGGAACTGAAAATATGGAAATTAAACCTATTAAAGCATGATCTGACTATAACTGATTCATATTTTTGAATGCATTAATCAATAGTACACAGTCTTATTTAATTGATAACTATTATGTCTCTTATAAGCAGCAGTTATGCACTTTTATGCAGAAACATACTTCAATCACGTGTACAACCCCCTAAAATCTCAAAAGTTCAACAATATCCGCTTGATTATAAATCATAATATTTTATACACATGTAGCTACTGTCCCTACTATTTTGAAAAATGCTGGGAGCAAGTTGTGCGCTGTTGATTTTTTCCGTAGTTTTACATTTCTTCAATGCGTATAGTGTAAATGCACATAGTTTATCAAAAGCCGGTGTAAAGACGAATAATGACCCCCATCGAATAATGACCGGGGGGTCATTTTTCAACGACAAAAAATGACCCCAACCCGTAGAAAAAAATCATTTTTTGTAGGAAAAGGGTCCTAGGGGGTCATTATTTTATACGTTAGTCCTATAAAATAATGACCCCATTGAGAAATTAACCCCTTTAAAGTGATACAAAATATACACTGTTTGATATCTTTTTTACAGCAAAATTAATTTTTACAATTTCTGTAATCAGAAAAATACAAGAAGTCGTATGAAATAATTAAGAGATTCACGTAGTCTTTCAATGCTAAAATTGTGTTTTAAAAGAGATTCTTTAATTGTCAAGTAAATAAAATTTCTTTTTAATATTCCTCCTTATAGAGGTGCTTAAAGAATGATATTCCACTTCTTTTTATATTAGAAATCAAACCATGCAAAAATCAGGTTTAAATACTCTTTAATAGGAAAACTTTAATTTTCTGTCATTTCAACTTTTAGATGGTTTAAGTTTGGCAATATCCTATTTGACAATAAAAGAGGAGAAAATTTTTATACCCCCCCCCAAAAAAAAAGAACATTACGTTAAATCAAAACAAAATAAAAATAAATGAAAAGCAAAAATATAAATAAAACTCTATACCTTTCAATAATTCTGAAAGAGGCTTTAGATAAAATATTGAAATGAAGTTAAGATTCACACAAGTACCATCATATCATAATTTACTTCGCAATGATTAAAGCATACTTTAAATATTGGTGGAGGTATACTTGAAAGTATTGTGGCAAAGTAACAGTTAAAAATTTGTAGAATAGTAGATTATTTTTAGCTTATTTTTAATTCCTTCTTATAGAAAAATAAAGGTAGGGTGTTTTTTGTTTGTTTGTTTGTTTGTTTTTTTTTTTGCTTTTGTTCAATATTGACTTCCTCCTAAAAAAGAAAGGGGTGGGGTAAGTATAAGACCTAAAATATGCTCTGTAAAGCTATGGGCTAGTGTAAAATACACAGTCATTCTAATGCAAAAACTATACATGTAGACATAAACTTTTGATTTAGCACACATTATTCATTACATTTCTTTAAACGTAGAACCTACTTCGTATGACATCATAACTGGTAAATGTGTTAAACCTGTGCTAACCCATTTTAAAGACGTCATAATTAATTCAATGCCACTTTTTCCCGTACTTGACAGCTTCAATAAAAATGGTCGAAAATACTGCATTTTGAAATTCCCAGAATTCAATCATGCCAACATAATCTTAATTCCATTCATATATATATATTTTGGTCTATAATGCTTAATGGCAATATATTTCTGTAATAAGAGAAAATATGTAAGCACCTTTTATTTACTAGATCTAGACTGGAAGTAGACAAACCCAAGACTATCTAGTGTAATGAAATTACAATGTACATACAACTTTCCTAATAATTTGAATGTTATGTAACCATTTTGAAGGAATGCATAAATCGTAAAAAAGCTTTAGTTGCCAGCTATATAGTGTAATATCTTGATGAAATGTGTCTAAGTCAAAGATGTACGTGTTGTAGATCGTTTGTTCGTGTGTACATTTTTGTGATATCTGTAATGAAATGGTGTGCATTCCTTTTAACAATTATTTGTTACCTATTCATATTCTTGTTTGATTACAATTTTTTAATTAAATATGATCTTTTTAAAGTAAAAGTACAATTTCTGATAAATATTTAATCTGAAAGTAACCCCAAACAGTCATTTAATTATTAAATCACGTGTAAGTGCAAAAAGGTCAAGAATATGAGAATCGGTAAATAGCCTATCTTTCATTAGTTAGAGAGGAAAGGTATATATTTTAATCATTTTTTGTAATCATTTCATGTCCTTCATCATATTGAACATTGAAAACATTGTGACAAAGACTTCTAAAAAATATTTACAAATACACATGTAGGGTGCATAATTGACTAAAAATAATAGAGTTCATTTGACTATTTTCTTTTTAATGGTGGACTTATCTTTTATTTTAATTGAATGAAAAAGAAATTATTCTTGATAAAATATTGTTTAATATTATTCATTTAAAAAAGTTTATAAACGACGATGTTTGAAGAAGTATTTTTGTGATTTTTCATATTCCCTTTATAACAAGTACCCCTAAAAAAATTGAAAATGTGAAGTCGCAGTATGTAAATACCATACCAAGTTTCACAGCCTGTTCTAGATTAAAAAACAAGGAAACATATCATGATATCTTAACTGATTGATCAGCAAGTACTAATTTATCATTTTGAAAAGTTTGAAAATATTGTGACAAAGACTTTTCCAACATAGTTTCTACCTTAATTCTTGTTTTACTCTACCTTTTTACTCAGTTCTGAGTATATTTTTCAGAGAATTTAATATGAAAATCAGAACAAACATTTTTAGTCTTGTAACGTCTTCTTTATAATGTATCTTAATATGAAAAGTTAATTGAAGGCCATTTCTTTTTATGTCCCCGTAATCG